CTATATGGCTAATATTACTATAATATAGATTTATGTGATTTGGCCTATAACATGGCATATATCCATTTTTAAGCACACATTATAGTCAACATTCCATTATGTTAAATTATTTCCTCATTTGCTCTTTTTTGGTAAAGAAACTATCAAAATCTCTTCCCTCAAAGGAGAAAAGATTATCATAAAAGAGAGTGTCAGTTCATATTCCTATTGGTTTGACAAATGTTGAAGTCCCCCATAGGTACATTTTTAATTTCACATGGTTGTTGCCACTAAAATTATTTTGCTATAGAATACATTTGTGGTAAAAATGTCAATAAAAGAGAGAGTGATGGAGTTGGCAATCTTATAACTATAAGCATACCCTCATATTAATGACTTTAATGCACCAATTTGTGTTTATAATTAAAATTTTTAAATGATGCTTATTAAATCATCTATTAATAGTCTTCAAATTGTTAGAGGAAAAATTATGTTAAAATAATTTGATTAAAATTTTATTTTGAAAATATTTAAGTTATCTTCAATTTGAAAATAGTCTTCAAATGAATATAATATATATATAATATATATATTCACTATTATTATTCATGTGTTATTGTGTTATTATAACACTCGAGAATATTCTCAGAACACAATAACACATGAATAACACGTAATAACTCGGGGGAAATATTCCCTTGTATTACCTGATCGATTTTTTTTCTTTTTTTTGTCACATCCACATGTCATGATTTCATGGGACTCCGCATCTAACTCTAAGTGTGGAGTACTGATGCAATATTTATCGTACTGGAATCGTATCATGAATTTTGATATTTGAGCGAGAATTTAAAAATGGATGAGAGAGAATGTGATTGCCAAATAAACTTATTAGAGAGATATTTTGAAAGTAAAACAAGACTTTTTCATTAGTCGTGAAGAGGAGCGCGTGATGCATTTGAAGTGTTTATCGAAAATTTATAAGATGTAGGAGAATATTATTATTATTATTATTATTATTATTATTATTATTATTATTATTATTATTATTATTATTATTATTATTATTATTATTATTATTATTATTATTATTATTATTATTATTATTATTATTATTATTATTATTATTATTATTATGACTATTATTGTTATTTTAAGAGTTGAGAGATTTTAATTACATACATACATCATATATGTAATATATTAAACTAATTATTTATTTATTTATTTAAAACTTGAGGGTCCGTTTGCATGCGGCGGTGTGGTGCGGTGCGGTGTCGTTTGAGACGCCGACGTAGCACTACACCGCAGTTTTGTATGTTTGGGTAAACTATGTTTTGACAACTTTTTTTAAAATCTGCATCTGGAATCTGATTTTCTCACCGCTTCTTGCTAGATACAGGGGCAATCTAATTTTTTTTTAAAAAAAAATTGTATTAACCTTCATAGTTTTATTAGATCAGATTATTATTCAGCAGCTTCACAGTTCATCTTTAATAAGGTGTAACTGCCCCAAACAGACTCTAAGCTTATAACCAATGAGCAAAGATAAAATGTCCTGCATAATATTTTAAGACAAAAGACCCGAAATATTGATATTTGTAAATTAATCATCCAGATCATTTTTTTGAACCGCTAAATTAATTATCATTGTCCTTATTTTTATTTATTGGTCATTTATTTATTTTTTTTAATAAGTAAATGTGATATATACTCAAATTCAAGAGAACTAGCTTATCATTAGAATTGAAGGTTTTTTTTTAGTTTCTAATATATATGAAATTAAATTAATCTTAGGATAATTACTTTGGGTTACAGCCTATAGGAAATAAATTTTGACTTTGAGTTGATTAAATTTTAATGGTGCCGCCCGCTGTCAATCTCCACCCGCCGTTTGGTCATTGCCGCCACCCGTTGTGCTCACAGCCGCCCTCCGCCGTCCCCCACAGCTTGCTCTCTGCCTTTGCATGCCGCCGCGGCTCGCGGTCGCCTTCTGCCACCACCGGCCTCCACAAACCGCCAACACCGCCCACTACCCGCCCCCACCGGCCCCAACTAACCTCAGCCGGCCCCACCAAACTTTTTTATTTAACAATTGTGTGGTATGAATGTAAAAAAATTACAGGGCATATTTTAGGCAAGATGATCCGCTAATTAAATAGATATTAGAAAAGTTTATTCTTCCTCTTAATTGGAGAAGATTATAACAAAATACATAATACTAGCTTGATCTCTAGTTGATACACTAAAGAACACTAAAAGAATAATGAAGGGCAATACCAATGGCGAAAAAATGATAATCAGATAATGACAGTTAACGAACTGTGATAATTGGGTAATGATAATTAACTAATGATAACGATTGAGCATCATTTTACAGTCGTATCTTAGTTGCTGATAGAAGTCGATCGATAAAATACAATCAGATGATCGCAATTGCGAGTAACGATCCCCAATCTCAATCATTAGATGAAGCTATTGATTTTTGAGTTTCTTAAGTTCTTTTCAATTCTAATTTCTAAGTGAATATCACTTTTAGGTAACTAATGGGGGTGAATTTAGCTAAAATTTTAGCACAATCCATTTGATATCCCACATTCAAGCATTGAAGTACATTAATGCATTGAAATTGAGTGATCTTTCTTCTCATTGATATACTCATTTCGATTGTAACACACAACAATCAAATATCAATTAGCTACTTAAATAATATCTATAAGTTCTCAATTATACATCAATTGTTTGATTCGGACTCATTTGTATTTAAAACTTTTTAGGGGTTAATTAAAATTAGAGTTTAACTTGTCCTAAAGTCAATCCTAATATTATTTAAACCATGATTGAAACTTGAGTTTAAAAATTGTTTTTCCTACCATTCGCTCTTCTTAGCTCGTCTTTGTATTGATGGTAGAGGAGTAAGGTTGCGTATGTTGAAGGCGTTCTCGACCTCTTGGACCTGGTGCATATCTGTCTAGAGTCTGTCATAATATCTTTAGCTTCATATGTATTGATACAAAATCAACAAATTTCCATCACCCGACACGAATCTTGAGGCGTGAAATGGATCTCGAGATAACTTTTTGGGCAAGAAATGTTCAAACCACGATAAAAAATAATCAAGCGCTTTGATTTTAGCAAATTTATAGTCAAACGAACTGACTCGATGAGACGAACCAATGATGCCAAAGTTGGTCCAATCCGAACCAAATGAAGCCCTGATCCAGACGTAAACCAAGTTTAGATGTTTCCCAAACACATTTGGAAAGTCAAACGGATACCGAATACGGTGACTTCATGGTCGAATCAAACGTTTCGACAAGACAAACCCAATGAGCCTAAGATCGCTTAATTCTGACATCATTAAAACACTCAACAACTCGTTTAACTAAAACATAAATAAAGACAAAGTAAAGAGAAACATATAAAAGAACAAAACATAAGTATAACAAAAACATAATAATATAGGAAAACATGAAACAACTCAAATCTAAAATCAAAATGTGTAGGCTAAAATTTTCTTGAAGTTAAAAAATTTTGACTCATATTCTTGGAAATGAATCAAAAAACTTGATGTCCAAAATCTACTGCAAAATAGGTTGGTCAGTCACGAATATTTACGGGTCGATCAAGTAATATACATATAATGAATCTGTGTATTGATCCTGCAAGAAAAGTTGTCAAAAATATTTCTTAACATAAGTTCTAATTTACTAAATTGTGAAGTCTACTTTGAAGATTCAATTTTGCAAGAGAAAAGGGGTTTAAAGTACAACTCAGAAAACCGTATAAAAATGGAACCAATAGAAAAGGCGATGAGTAACTTTTGTTGGGATTTAATTTCAATACCCTTTGGAATTCCCAACATTAATTTCAATACCCATTGGAATTCTCAAATTAATTTCAATATCCTTAGGAATTCCCAAATTAATTTCAATACCCATTGGAATTCTCAAATTAATTAGTTTTAATTTTAATAACCGTTGGAATTCGTTGGTGTTTTTAAGAGAAATAAATTTCAGAATGTAGTCCATATAATGTCTAAGTTCAACACATGAATTTTGTAACATTCCATAATGTGCTCACATCTATTGAACTCTGTGATGGGCAGAGCACTATAATTTAGATGTGATGCTTGCTGTTTTGATCCCTAAGCTTGTTCCTCTTCATTTTTATTTGCACCATCGGGTTGAGAGAGAGAAAAACTTAGAAGATATATAACAGAAAATTTATCGTGTGAGTTGTGAGTGTCGACTCTATTCGTATAAGTTATAGCTGGAGGTATGTATGATCTTATCTCGCTTCCGCTTATCGATTAAAATATGTTTGTAGATCGAATATGGTATTTAGATTTTACAATGAGTCTTTCTGAGGTGATGAGACTTTAATATTTAGTAATGTTTTAAATATAACAATTTAATCATTTTTTTTTATTATCATAACCACCATCCTTTACCCATTAGTGAAGGTTTTGAGTGAATGTTATGGATAACTAAAATGAAATATTTAAAGTTAGGCTCAAAATTGGCTAAAAAAAAATCAATCCAAAATTTTGGCTCATAACTCGGCTTGTTTATTTCGATTTGATCTCGATGTGAGCAAAGATTCAAATCAGTTTTCGAGCGATTAACGGTATTTGAACTAATTTGAGTGATTAACGATCTTCAAGCTAAATTTTCTTAATTCATATGCTATTTAAAGTCATACGCTATTAACAATCCGATTTCAAGCCGGGTTGAGGTTGGCTAGAAAAAAAAATTAAATCCCAAATTTTGGCTCATAGCTCGTCTCATTTATTTCGATCTGATCTCGATTCGAGCCAAAGTTCATTTACGATCATCTAGCTAAATTCTCATCCATAATGCCACCTTATCTATGTATGAAAAGTTATATTTCACTTTTTAAAAATTAAAATGATGGTATTTTTGAAGAAAAGATTTGGAGGGTATAAATGCAAAAAGTAAAATTTAATTGTTTCATATATAAATAGATAGAAATTGGGTGATATGAATGTAAATGCCGCCGGGGGAGCGGAAGCTGAGATAGCAAGAAGCCAATGTTGGAGTAGTGCAGGAAAAGAAGAGAAGTAGAGATCAGAAATGCCGCTATACGATTGCATGCTGCTTGCTAAGCCGTCGGTGAAGAAGGAGGCGATTATGAATCTAGTCGCTCGGTTGGGGAAGCGAGTTTTCCAGTGCAACGGAGTCGTCACTGACATCAAATCCTTTGGTACCGTGCAGCTCGGCTACGGAATCAAGAAGCTCGACGGCCGCCATTTTCAGGTCCCATTCTTTGTCTTACCTTCTCCTGTTTTTACTGGAATGTTATTTACTGAACTTGCTTTTTGGATTAATTAGCGAAATTCTAGGTTTTTGTCGAGCATCCGGGGTTTAGAAACTGGCTCAATTTTTATGGAAATTACTCTTGTGATATTTGTGTGTTAATTGTTGCTTAATTGATTGGGATCTGTTTTACTTATTGCCAATAAGTGGTTGAAGGAATGTAATATCTGAAAGTGAAGTAGTAGATGAACAATTTGGTAATTGCATTGGTTGGAAAACAACATCTTCTGATCCTACAGGACTTGCAGGATTTAAGTTTTATATGCTAAGATAGAAGGCTGGTTTGGAGCGATTGTTAGGTTACTCGTCTATTAGAAATTCCACAACATAACATCTAAACTGGATGTCTTTTTCCAAATTATAGATTCAATTACACCATTGTTATAAACAGAATATCCGTGTGCACCACTATTGGATCTATCAATTTGATATGACATCTCGTCATCCAGCATTGAAGGCTCGAATGGCTTCAGACTTTCTATATTCATCACTGAGAAGATATTCATGTAAGCAGGCAAATCCAGCCAATTGGCATTGCCTTTAACTTTTTTCAAGATTAAATAAGCAAAATACATTCGGGGTTTACCTATCATCTTTTAATCTCTTATTGCTGATGTGAAGTGATACTAGATATCATTTTTTGAATTAGTTTTCTCTATTTGGTGCTAGTCATGTCAACTCTTGTAAAGATCCTATGACTTTTGAAGATGTGCCTTTTTCTCCTAATGAATTTTTTTGACTTTTATAATATAAAACTTTGGTCTCCCTTGAGGCCTTTTTCTCGGCTCTTGGACTTTGTCATTGATTATGTTGAGAACTTTAAGTTGAACAAACTTTGAGGCAAATACGCGAGGCTCACCTTGAGTAGAGCTTGGTTTGTCGAATTGTGGGATACTCTGTTGAAAGTAGATTGGACATATGATAAACTTTCATTCTATTTTATTGGATGCTGTGCATTGAATCTACACGTAGGTGCACCATACTTGAGTTAATCATCTCAGTTTGGCCGTTTTTTTGTAAATGGAAAGTGATGCATATTTTCAAAATTTTATCATCATACCCAAATTTCTTTCTAAAATGAGCCGAGGAAGCAAAAGAGTATTAGCTCAAGATGATTAAGCTCAAAAAGCCTAAATGCATTTAAATATTTTTGAGCAAGGGATGTGTTTGCTTGTTCTTGCATGATGTTTGGCTTGCTCATTATGAGAATAATGATCTTCCAAAATTTATTAATCATAACAAAAGCATACTTATGAACATTATGAGTCGACAACAATCCTCCCAAGGAGAGATGCTTTCCCATTGTCATCTTAGCATACACATTGGAGTTTATAATTTTTTTTTTGAGGGATTTGCAGTGCTGAAAAGTATTGATTATGTTAAGAATTTGGCCACATTCAAGTGCATTGTAATATGGTAGACATATCTCTACAAGTTTTTTAGAGTTTTATTTACCCTGAAGTGTCTAAACACTTTGGAGGATACATTTTTCAAATGCACTTCATCTAATTACCATCCTCTGAAACACAGAGATGGCTCCCTTTATAGAGCAATCTCTCTCAAACATTAAATCCTTCTTCTCACACATCCTCAATGATTTCTTGAAAGTTATCATCCAACAAGCAGAGATTGGCACGTTCTTCATATGGAGCTGACTATCGTGGCATTATTGTTGATAAAGTCATTGAAGGATGAGATGCTTCCCTTTATGGAACAATCCCTTCTAGACATTGTATTTTTATTCGTAGGCATCCTCCAATATTTCTTAGAAATTGTTTTCCAACTTGTAATGATTGGCATATTTCTCATGTCGAGCTAGCTGCAATCGCATCATTTCTAATTAGGTCATTTGATGATAAGAGCATATTTGCTATTTTTGTTCTGCTAGATGACATAGTTGAGTTGCTGCAAATACATCCTTCACTTTTTGTGTCAAGCTTGTTGAAGTTTGGAATTTCATTTTGGATTTATAGAAGTTTCTTTTTGTTTGTCTGGACCATGTTTCCTTTTTCAAGCAGCTAAGTTCCTCAGTGTTTCATACTATAATGCATGGACACTTTTAATCAAGGAGCCGTGCAGCGTCAGACACATATTGGACATGGGTAGGACTCTAACATGGCTTCGACATGTGTGCAACAAGTCATAAAAGTGTCCAATTTAAATACTATTTTTTTTTTTAAAAAAAGACACTTGTTCTAAATTAATGAATTGAAAATTTTAAAAAATATATTTTTAAGCTAAAATTTGAAGAAAAAAAAATTTATGTAAAATTTAAGGAAGATTTTCATACATACCGCTTAACTCTTATGTATTTATGTTTCTAAAACCTAAATTTTAATTTTACTATATGTCACCTTACATATATATGAAAAGGTGTATTTCACTTTTTAAAACTCATAATAGTGGTATATTAAATGAGATATGAAAAATTTGGGTGGCATAAATATATGTTTAGGATATGTAAATATATAAGAATTTGGTGCCAAAAAAGTCGGTGAAAATAGTACTTCTTTAATAAGTAGTTGATTAGGAGGACTTAATTATTGATGTATTGCAAGATAATACATGCTTATTTTTTGTGTGCCATAAAATAAACAATTATCTATGAACATCTCTTGGGGGCTGTTTGGGACCATTTTTATTATTTATTTATTTTTTTATGTTATAATTTAAATTAAAACATGTTTAACTTAGGTACTTATTTTAAAACTCTCAAAATATCTTGAATATGTTTTGATTTTTTTTAAAATACAATTTGATTTGTTAAAAAAAAAAGCATAAAGTTTATATCAAATAATACAAGAAACAAGTAATACCAAATAGGCTCTTAGTTTTTGAAAATTAATGTAATTAAATTTCTTTTTTTATCTTTGTATTTTTCTAAATATTTAATTTATCTAATTTTTTATATACTTTATTAATTTATATTATAATGGCGTGTTTGTCGCATGTCGATCTCCTATATTTTTAATAATAGACGTGTCTCATATTCTTGTTCCTATCTCCATATCTGTGCAATATAGGTTTCATAGCTAAGTGAAGTGCAAGTATTTACTTCTCATACATTTGATAATTATTTTGTGCTTCTAGTAGATTTTTTGAGATTTTTTCCATAACTCTTCCTTCTTTCATTAGAATCTCATCAAGTGCATATTTTGAGGGCAAGCCTATACTCAAACATTTTATAAAGGTTGGGCAAAGGTAGGACCTGTCTTATTTATCTTTCTCTTACGAATAAGACCACTTAATGTTTCTTATTGTCAAACTTTTAGATGGCTTTTATGAGTGGATTAAGAGGTTCATTAAGTACATAGAGGCTACAAATGAACTATGGGCGAGCTTCATGAAACTTACCTAGCCAATCACATATCATGCTTGAGGTCAATTCTTAGGATCTATTTTTATATCTCCGCCACCAACTCTAAAGCCTAAGTATGGTAAGCTTCTCTTCTCAGAATTGTACTTTTCTAAGTTGAGGACACGTAGGTGATGTTTTAGGAGAATAAACACCTTTTCCACATACTCGAGATGCTCCACCTACATCCAACTATATATAAGGATGTTATCTGGATAGATTATCGCATACTTCTTTGTGAATGGCCTTAAAAGATAATTAAGTTGATGCATAAATATCATCAGTGCATTGTAGAGACTAAATGACAACACCATCCACTTTAATAATCCCTGGTTGATTGCAAATGTGATCTTCCATTTATCTTCTTCCTATGTCAAGCATTGTTATTGTCTATTTTCAGATCTATCTTGATGAGACCGAGTCATGCTTCAACCGATCGAACAAGCTATCCACTCTCAAGTGTGGGTATCAGTTTTTCTTTGTGATTTTGTTCAGTGCGCAGTTGTCGATGCAGATGTACTAGCCATCTTCTTTCTTCTTCACCATCTAAATTGGACATCTGCAAAGTGAACTACTTGGCTTGATTCAGTCTAGCAACTTCTCTTTTCTCTTCTTCTCGATAGGAGGTTTGTCGTTCTTGTTCTTGTTCTTCCTTTTGATCTCCATAACAAATATGTTAATTTGGCATGGACCTTTAATGTGGAAAAATAATAGCTCATTGAATTTATGCAATTGCTATGTACTTCATCAGCACATATGCATCTTCAAATAATACACCAATTATTAGGGCTTATCTCTTAAACTGTGTAATGTAATTTTGTACATTATGATCTTGTTACTAGCATAATACATGTCATTTCCTTCATTTTTTTTTATAACCTATAAAGTCAGATTCATGGCTAGCAATTTCGTGAATTTTAGGAGATGTATTTATGCCCAAACTCAAATGAGCATTCCATAAGTCAAAGTGTGGTTGGTGATATTTAGTTGAGCAAGTGAACTTTCTTTTAGGAAGGATGCCTATAATGACTAAAAATTGTCTCCATCTGATCTACCTAGGCATCTGGTTTCTCCTCATCCATTGCTCCTTTAAAGATAGTAATCTTGATGACTGCCTCTAGCTTTTAGGGTAAATGTCTCAGACCAAATAAAATCTCCAGATCTACATCTTCTTAGTCATCTTATTGCCTCCTCCAACTCTCATCGGTTTCCTCTTGCTAGATCCTGCAAACAATTTTTCTTGATTTCTTAATATGGTTCTAGCCTTGTACCGGAGTTTTCTTAGTCATCATCTCCGTCTTCATAAACATCTATTACTGAAGATGCACAACTTGAATCTAGTTGTTAGACCATTTTTCTTGGTTGGTTGATACCTTGGTTTCTTGAGATTTTTTATGGACAAGAATGGTTCATCTTCTTGTAGTCATCAACACCATGCACCTAGGGTTCTCTTTAAGCCTAGCACTTTGATATCAAATACTTAATCTATGAGCTGCCATGTCAAAGAGGCCACACAGCACGAAGCCAGATGTATTAGGGAAATGGTGTGGAGCAAAGATTTAAAAAATTAGTTTTATTGATGGAT